ATTAATGCTTTTTATAAGATTTTGTGATGTTAAACTTCAACCTTTCAATTCATGTTGGTTTGTTCATTTTGATGAAAGAATTGCAAAATGTTAAGTCTATGATGCAGTTTGATTTTAGTCTAGAAATACATAGTCAGCTGTTAGAGCCGATCTCAGATAATTTGCCTGAGGAAAAAATGGAATGTAAAGAATACTTTAGTCACCTTTGGAAAAAAACGTAATGGTTTTGAATCACACTTGCATTATACATACGTAATAGTAGTAGCTAACATTCATTGAGTACTTCACTACTAGCTGGTTGCTGTTCTGAATGTTTTTGGCAGATTAACTCATTTAGTCATCTTGTAAGTCCTATGAGGCAGGCAATATTAGTATCTCCATTTTACAGTTTAGAACACTGAGAGGCATAGATTAAGTAACTTGCCCCAAGTCTGTATAATTCAAAGTGCAGAGCCAGGATTTGAACCCTAACAATCACTCTCTTCAAGCCACCACGCTACGGCTGCCTGCCTACATGCGCACCTCAATAGAAGCTCATGTAAAGCTTATCCTCATCATTATTCATCACCCTTCTAATCTGAGAAGTCCAGTTTAGGGATTCCTCTCACCTTTTTGGGGAGGGAGAACTTGTGAGATAGGAGGTGAAAGATGAAGTAAATGGATGATACAAATGGTGAGTTTGTGATGTTTGGAAGCAGCATTGATGCCAAAATTTGGCTGTAGTGAATGATTGTACAACTCTTAAAACTTTGTACATTTCTTAAAACTTTGTACATTTTACACATACAGTCATCTCTCAGCATCCGAGGGAGATTGATTCTAGGATGGCTTAAGTTCCTGATATAAAATTGTGTAGTATTTGCATATAACCTATATACATCCTCTCATACACTTTAATCTCTACGTTACTTATAATACCCGATACAGTGTAGCTGCTATGTTAATACTTGTTATACTGTATTACTTTCAAATTGTTGTATTGTTGTTATTTTTATTGTTTTCCCCCCAAATATTGTTAATCCTCAGTAGGCGGATGCAGAACCTCTTTAGACAGAGGGCCGACTGTGTAGGTGTGAGCCAGTTTCAGTTAAAGCAGAGGTGGTTGGTACTCATCCCTCACCTGCCCCCACGTAGCGTAGCCAGGGCATCAGGGAGCTCTGATCTCTGGCATCATCTGGGATAAACAGGATTTTCCTGCTTCACAGGCCTGTGAGCACATTAGAAGTACACCTGCTCAGCTTAGGTCAAAGTGAGAAGCTTTTGAATGAAGTGATAACCCAGTAGGCAGTGTCTAAATAAAGATGACTGGTTCAAGTCTCAGTGGACAAATCTGTACGTTCTATTACTGTTGACTGTGACTTTGACGTTTATGGTGTTCATTAAGTAAATCCAATCTGATGATATGAAAAGAGCACACCAAAAACCAAAATGAAACCATTTATCAAGACTTTCATAGTAGTGAAAATATTTTAGTGTGTTTTGAAACATAAAAAGTGATTTATACTCAAAGGCTTTTAGATACAGAAAAGTGATATTTTCATTTTATCTTTGTGTTGTTGCTTTAATTCTTTTATTAGCTACTCCTCTTCATGTTTCCTTACTTCCATTTTGGAACTGCTTTCTGGAGGTAGTTAAGTTACAAACCAACCATACTTTGGCTCTGCACATGTGGCATGTAGGAAGGCCATTTTTTTGGCTAAGTAGTATGTTGTCCTAGTGGTTTCCAGTAGGATTTTGGAAGTAGGGGAGTGGATGCAAAATTTTTCCACGTGTGTGTATGTGTGTGTTTATGTCCGTGTGTGTGTTTCTTTCTCTTTACAAATGGTCTTGCCCTCCAGTAGTTGTACTTGTTAAATGTTGCTAACTTTTGATGAGTGAAGTACTTATCTTCCCAGTTTAAGTAGATTTACATAGTTTACTGCTTTCTTCAAGATTAACTGGGTGTAGCTGCACGTGAGGAATTCAACAGTGATTCAGTGTTTGGCCTTGTTTAGAGGATGACATACAAAGCTGTTGATTAATCCTCTTCAGGCAGTTTCTGTTCACAGCAATTTGTGTTTAGTAGATTGGGTTTTGTTAAAGTTTGAAGATTAAACTTGTACATAGAAGATATTTAAATGAACACTGCCTGAAACAGTCTCAATTTCTCGTTTTAAAGAAAGTAAAAGTTTTCGAGCTACAGAGATTGGAGGTTTAGAGGAGAGTAGCAGAAAGGTTAATTGGTACATATAAGTAAGGTCTTGTCCCATTTTTATGTTATCTCTATGTATTTGTGATCAGGTAGTATCTATGAGTCATGATGATGATGTTTTAAATATCTACCCATGCATAGTCATTTGAAAGCTGTACAATTCATCAGTGATTGTCCACTTTTTCTGCTGAGGACTCTGTGTGGCATCTCAATATATGTTCCATAGTTCACTTCAGGATTTGAACATACTTCTAGTTTTTTGTTTTTCCTTCTTCTTAGAGATTACTGTCAACTGGGCTCACCATGTATTAGTAATACTTTTATTTTTGAGAACTTTCTTGATCAGGAAGGTAAGGGTCTATCTGATCCAGGTTTCTGAGAATATATAAACTGCTCAGCCAATAAATAAATATTTGAAGGTTGTAGAAACCTCAGTCATATTTAATCTTCACAGCATCCATATAGAGAAGGTCTGGAGTTTTGAGGCAGTGACATTAAGTGGTCTAGTTGGTGAAAGTTAGGTCCCTGGAGTCAAGGGCTGTGTTTGCTACTAGGAAAAAGAAGCGGGACCCGTCAAGAACAGTTGTGGCCTCACTACACTTCCCTTTACATGGTCTCCCAAAGACATGTGGCCCACAGGGTGTCCAGATTTCAGATTTGGGAATTGTAGCTCTCGAATGTATTAGTGTTTTTTGTTTGTTTTATAAAGGCTTTCACAGATAACATGCTAGACACCAAGTGAAATTTGAATTTCAGATAAACAGGGAATAATTTTTTAGTATAAGTATGTCCCAGATTTTCATTGTACTGCATTTTTAAATTTGCTAATTCTAGCAACTCTCTCTCAGGGAAATCCAGTTCACTTTTTAAAACTAGTTATAAAAAAATCATGATTATAAAACATATTATTCTTACTTTTTCCACTTAAAATTTTGCCCCTTAGCGTATTCCTTAAGCCCTGATGACAGTGCACATTTCACATTTCACCTTTAACCATTTGGTCAATGCTTCTGCCTGCACTCTACCTAATTGAAGGACTGTGGCTTAAGTTCTGGCTCTACCGTTTGCATGCTTTTTCACTTAACCACCCTAAGTCTGAGTTTCTGCTAAGTAAAAATAATAGTGCCCACTTCACAGGGTGGTTGTTGTTAATCCTTCTAAGGTGCTGTTATTAATGTCCCCACAGAGCAAGCAACAGCGGGTGGTCCTAGGAGACTCTGTGTGGTCTAGGGAGACCTTGACATAGTCTCCTAAGAATGGACTGTGTTTAGAATGAGGGGCAGCCTGAAGAAGGGTAAGAACCTGTCTGGAGGTTGAAAATGAAAATTTCAACCACATTTAAAAAAAAAAAAAAGAAAGTACCACCATATTTTTAAACAGTTGATCAGGGATTATGCTCTCGATAGTAGAATTTGCTTTCTCTCTGGGGAAGTCTTTCAATCCTTTCTTCTTTATGAGGAAGGTAAAAAGAGCATTGATCATTCTTATCAGTGAAAAATGCTACTTTTTATTTGGCTGGAAAACAGATTTGATTTTTAGTATATGCCTGATTATTTCCTGAATTCTTTCCTTTGTCTTGTTTGTATGTTTGATTTTCAAAGATACTGTCTTTGCATTACTCAGAAAAATCAACTTTTTTTTTGTCCATGGACATCTGTAGGTGTTTAGTGGGTGTTTGTTTTTAAACTCATATCTGTACAGAATGCTTTGCTTAACACATTCTAAAATCTTGGTAAACTTTAAAATAGTATAGAACACACTGTGAGGAAAGGAAGAAAGCGTTTCCTGGAATTAGGATAAGGTGAAAGAATTAAATGGAGCAAATGAAATTCAGGATTAAAATAAAAAATCAATGTAACGGTTGGGATTTAACACTTACTATAACAACAGCAGCAGCAACAAACTTGGTGTTACTCAGAGTAGTAGGCTAATAAATAGAAAACTGTGTTGGCTCCACTTTATTCATTTAAACATTTGGAATTTTAAAACAGTGTAATGTAAACTAGAGAAGATTATCTTTTGTTTGTCAATTGTATATGCAATACAGTCTCAAAAATGTATTTTTAAAAACTGGAAGGAAATATGCCAAAATATTAACAAATGGCTTCCTCTGCTATAGAATCAAGTGACTATTTTTCATGGTCCTTTGCATGTTTTTCAACCATTGAGTCCCTGTTGTCCCCCAGAATGAGCATGTGGTCCTTTGGTTATCAAGAAAAAGACAGTGAAACAAGCAAGCAAGCAACCAAAATAAACCAGTTAGAAATCTGTATTTTTTAATGTCTTAAAATTGTGGTAAAACCCCAGAGAGTACATTTTGAGAATTTCAAACGTGAAGGTGCTGCTTGTTTCTAATGCCTGAGTTTTGAGGTGTGGTCCTTTCCTTTTTTTTGTATATTATTTTTATTTCCTGCAAATTCCTGTACTACCTTTTTAGAAATCACTCATTTCTGACAGATACTTTTTATAGTTAGTAACTTAATATTTTCCTATTTTTATACATATTTAAATAGACCTTCTGTATTTTTAAAAACATTTTTAAGGTACAAATGTATCTACATGAGTTAGGAGGAAATGTAGCTATTTATGTGAAATTTCATATTCTAGATTACTTTTCAGGAGAGTAGCTATTCTAAACATTCTAAATATGGAGGCATTGTCACAGTCACCTGTTTTCATTTGACTTACAGCTGTTTTGTGGACAGATAAATTTTCTCCACATTTAATTTCTGTATTAAATGTGACAAACCAAGACTGTCCTACTTATGTTGGAATCCTTTGGGTTTATTTTCTTATGAATACATATGACTGTCTTCATTGCAAACTTCCTTTTTGGCTTTTAGATTCTTTTTTTTTTTCTCATATATATGTCTGTATTTTTCTTTTTTCTTTCTTTTTTAAATTAAATTGTATTTTCAGTTCCAGGATACATGTACAAGCTTTTAGCTTTTTGAAAGGGCAGTGCAGTGGGAGATGTGGCTTCTTTAATGTATAATGGAAGAGAAAGGATTTCTGTAAGAAGTATAAGGTACAGATAATGTCAGCATTGTAGAAGTAGCTGGTGTATAACCCAGGGGAATTTTCAGTGTGTCTGGGGAGCTTTAGGTGTGTACTGCAGAGGCTGCAAAGCTTGAGAGCAAGAGCAGGAGGAGGGAGTGCTGAAGAGAGGGCAGGGGAAGTAGGGACTAAGAAGAAGGCACTATTACCCTGTTAGTTTCTTAACTTGCTAGCTGATACATCACTTTACAAAATCGGTTCCAGTCTCATTGTTTTGGTGCTGTGTAGGTTGGGAGCAAACATATAGCTTCATTGTTTTGAATGATCTCAGATTCTTACATCTCCCCTACTTTTTTTTCTTAGTTGTCAGTCCTATCATCCAGCATTTTCTTTCTGTGTTCTAAGACAAGATCTCTTTGTTTCTCTCCTCTTTGGAGAACTGCCTATAAATCACCTTTTTGGAAGACTATTTGTGATTGACCCAACCCTACCAATTCAGATATTCTAGAAAGTACTTTGGCTGTACTTTATATTCTCAGTTCTGTGTGTTAAATGTATCAGACCAATTCTAAGAGATTGAATAGTTCTTTTGTTTAACTGAAAATTTAACACAGGCCCAGAAACATTGAGTTAAATAATTATTGAGTTGTAGCATAAGTTAAGTGATCTTTTAAAAACAGATGGGAATCCTTGTGAAGTAAACTGGTGGCATGCTGGAGATAGCACTGGTGCACATTAGGGGAGAATCTGGGCACGGAAACCAGCTAGCTAGTTGTTAAAACAGCTGAGAGCTGTTGAGGACCCAAAAGAAGTCAGTTAAATTGTAGGCAGGAGGAGTGATCAGATTTTATAGATATTTGAATACAGGAAGCCCTTAAAATTATACAAAATGTGAATACATTGGCTATTTCTTGGGTAGAGATTCATAGCTTTTATCCATTTGTCAGAGGGATCTGTATCCTCCAGAAGTTTTCAAGACTGCATTTGGAAGAAGAGGGAGAAGGACTTGACCAAAATGTCTAACTCAGGAGACAGGATAATTGGTTGCCTCACGGAAGGTGCCATTTCAGGTAAAAAGAACATTGATTCAGCAAAGATTTGAAGATAGAAAACATGGGCTTTATCAGGGAAATAGTGGGTAATTCAGGTTAGGTTGACTGCAGGTTGGAGGTTGAAGAACAGAGACCATTATGAGCAAGTTTGCTAAAATGGGTAAGAGCAGACAGAGCCTGAGTTTAGAAGGTGTTGTCTCAGTTGAAATAAAGATGTAAAATGGAGTAGTGACAGTGTTATGTATTAAATATAACGGATTCAAGATATTGTATAGAAAGAATTGACAAGATTTGGCTGGTGACTGGCTGGATGGGGAGGGGAGTGTGCTGGGAATAGACCGTCGTAGGCTTCTAGTCTTAAGTAATTGGGAAAATGAAAAGTTACTGCAACTTTGTTTGCTCTGGGGCTCAGTGATGAGGGAAAACCCAGCCTTTCTATTGCGGGGATTTTCTACGTTATTGTTGTTATTTTAGCTGTTAAAGTAAATGGGGGAGGGATTGGTGAATTCTGATACTCAGTGTCCAGACACCAGGGATGCATAATATCCTGCAGTGTCCAGGTCAATTTCTCATAAGGAAGAATTGTCCAGCCTAAACAGCAAATCACACCCCCCAGTGAAAACCACTGTAAGAAGTCATTTTGGTTGGGGAGATGACTGTAAGCGTTTCTTTACCACTCCCTTGAGATTACCTTGAAGTCAGTGAAGAAGCTGCCTCACACATCTGCATGGATTTTCGCGTTTGTCCTGGATCTTCTCAACCACATTCTTACATGGCAAATTTCGTTCTTGGTAATACGTATCACCTTTAAATAGCCACCTATAACATCTATAGTCTTAACAACTGCATTGGTTATACTAAAACATTTCCCACTTCAAAGGAATATGGAAGATGGGCAGGTAGGGTCGTGAGTGGTTTAGAGTATTCAGCCTATCAAAATAAAAGAGTTTCTGAGGAAAGGCAGTGAGTTTGGATTGGCCATTTTAACTTGGCCACATGAGTCACACATTATTCTTCCTACTTGCCATCCCAGGCAGAAATTTCTAGCAAGCGGGCAGAGAACTGGAGCTCTGGGGAAGAAGCACAGAAACTTCTCAGACTTAATAGGTGGATCACTGGGAATGGATTAAAGCACTTCCAGAGGAGAATGTGTCAAGAAAAGAGATGGAACAGACTTTGGGGAGCACACACTGTATATTGGGCAGGAGTGGGGGAGCCTTAGGCAAAGTACAGGGAAAGAAATGGCAGAAAACTGAGAGAATCCAGAGGGTGTCACAGAAGCCAGAAAGAACAAAGTTTTAAGAAGAGGTGGTCAGCTCCCTTAAATGTTGCCGTGAGGTCAGGAAAGACAAAGGCCTAGTAAAGGGCGGTTGGACATATCCTTTGGGAGGTCTTTGTAAGCTTTTGAAATTGAAGTCTCAATGGAGTACTGTGTGTGCGGTGGGGCAGGAAAGAAGGGTGGAGGCAGGGGTGGGGGGAGCACATTCCAAAGGGTTTAAAGAGTGAATGAATGAAGAGGGTGTGTCTTTAGGAAATCAGTTACCAAAGAGTTTTTTTTCCTGAAAATTTCAAGTGACAGCCTAGAGACAAGGTTATTTCAGCATCTGACTGTGTTTGTAGGTAGAGTAAGGTGCTAGAAAAAAAGAGGGAATATTTGGAAATAGGGCTTGCTTTTATGAAAGGTTGAGGCAGGATTAGTCTTAGAGGAAAGGGCTCCTCAGAGATCTTCCTGACAGTGATTACAGGGAAGGAGAAATTGGATTATGCTAGAGGTGGAAGGAAGGCAGGCCAGTGAAGCTCACCTTTTTATAAATGCTTAGGCTTCAGTAAGGAGGCGAGGTTGTCTGTTCAGATTCTATAAAATAAAAAAGATGGGATTTTCAGTTTGAGGATAGTGTGACCAAGGATTTGGAATAATGCTCTTGGGAATTTGGTGAGCCTTCAAACAGAGATGAGTGCAGAGATGACTTAAGTGGTAGTGAAGGCTCATGGCGAGTCAGAGGTGTGAGTTGGCATGATATCCTGAGCCTCCTTCAACAATAAATAAGAGAAAACATCTGGATAATGGGTTTATGTAGGGTTTGGCATTGGTAAGAAGAGTATGCTTTGAAAATCAAGAGCACGGTTATGAAGGCTAAGGAAACAGGTGAAATCAAGAAAGACAATGAGCTTTTGGGATAGGGAGGGGCATGGAGGTTCTGATAAGATATAAAAAGAAAAGTCCCTGGGAGAGAGGTGAAGTAAACAGGCTTTTTCAGAGAGGAAATTCTGAGGTCAAAACCTTGAAGAAAGAGTAGTTCTGGGATCCTTGCCTTGTGGAGTTGTTTGGAGGATTAAATGAGATAGTCCATATGGGTCTGTCTGGCACCTAGTAAGAACTCAGGTGTTTATAATGATGAATATGAGATTCTTGTATAAATTACACCTCTCACTAAACTAACTACTGTTGTAATATTTGTGTAAATCAAATCGTATTTCCAACAGATAATACCAACCATGAAACACAAACCAAAATAAAATGTTAATGTTTTTCAACTGAACTACATGGCCAACTTCCATTTAAAAACATTTCACCATTAAACCATTTCAAAAACACAGGTTGCTTTTAAAGAACAAAAGGTGGGCATTGGTGTGGATCCCAAATTTATCACTTAAAGGGATATTTCTTAAACTTTCTGGGCCTTAATTTCCTTGGCAGCAAAGCCAGGGATAAGTTACTTACTGTTGTTGAGATGATTACATGATGTCACCTGGGTGACAGCACGTGACACATTACCTGGCACTCGTACTCTGGATGCTTCCCTCCTTCCTTGGGGTGTCTCCTAACAGGTTAGTTTATATGAAAGAGGATTTTGGAGGAAGGGTCAAGGAAGGCCTATGATTATAATAGTGGAAGAAGATTGTGATTATTCTGTTCATTAGCAAAAAATGTTTGTGATGAGAAAGACGTGATATTTTATTATATCTGTCCTTAGCTTCTCAGGGTTAAGGGTCAAAAGAGTTAATGTAAGATAAAATACTTTATGATATGTAAACACTATAGAGATGTTATTACAATTTCTGAAATAGATGCCTTCAACTATTATGTGAGCATTTTCCTTCTTTCAGCATCTGATTTAAAATTCAGAAGTTTATTGTTCAAAGCTGCTTTTCCCAAATTATGTTTACTCAGATACACGGATTCTATTAAACTTTGAAAGTGTTCTAGGAATTAAAATATTCATTGTACAAAGAAACTTGGGAAACACTACATATTACCTATTATTGTCCAGGAAAGTAAAAGTGTAAATTAGCAGAAAAAAGTACCTGAGAAGTCCTACAGCAGAGATATTTGTCTGACTTTATGCATTTCTTTGTTTCCCTAGAGTTATTTGATCATGGAATCATTCAGTTTTAGAATATTTACGAATTGTATTCTTGGAACAGTTTGGGAACCACTTATTTAAAAGAAGCTTTTGCCTTTTAGTGTTGGAAGGGACGTCAGAGATTATCAGGTTCAACCCCTTTAATTTATCCCTAAGTAATTAAAATCCAGAAACTTCGAGTGATTTTTTTAAAGTATTACAGCTTGAAAAGCGTGGATTTTCTGACTTTGACTTAGTGCTTCACCATCCTCCCTTAAAAGTTTTTGTTTTTCCGAGTATGGCACACACTTGCACTATTTTTTAAATGAATGTTAAAGAGTATATTTTTTTAAAAGATCATTGATAGGGCTTCAGAATTTTTATGTGAGGTTTTAAAAATCATTCTCTGAACAGTAGGC